GGATGTATTGATGTTGTCCGCTTGTTTGAACATGGAATTGTCGATTATATTGGAGGGACGCCGTGCGATTGTGTGTTAGTTAAAACCAGAAGACAAGCGACTATTGAAGCAAGCTGGGGGTAGGCCAAGAATTAGGGGCTTGAAAACAGGGGGACGGAAGTGAAGTTGAAACTGGACGCTAAAGATGAAAAGGCGCAAGAGAGGGAATAGGAAGGCGGGAAGACCTGAGCAATATCAAGCAAACCCGTATCAACCCTGCTCGATGCAGCAGATAGAGCGCCGTTGAATATCATCTGCAATGACCAGCGAATCAAGAAGTTGTTTGAAGAGAAGTTGATGGTAGAGTTGATAGCAGTCATACGAAAACCCAGTCATCATCATCATCAACAGCAGTACATCAGCCACTTGAACTGATGCTTCGCTGCCATACAACCATGAGGACCTATGAAATAAAGAATAAGAAGAGGGAGAGAAGGGGGACTTACCTGAAAACCTTAATGCCCTAAGCAAACATTCAGGGTCAAGGCGCCTACACCTTGTGTAGACAACATTCCGTCACAAACAGCTGGCTATCGTGCAAAGATAAGGCGGCATCGGCGAGACAGCTTCCTTGCGGCTTTCACTGCCACGCGTCATAATCAGCCATTACCCCGCAGATAACTCAGCACCAAACACACATTAAACAGACAATCCGATTAGGAGACGGCAGCAGACGCGCCACTGGTGTCGGTTGCGAGCCATGTCCTGTAAAGTCTCAAGCCAAGCAAAAGGTGAGTCACGTGGACTCCAACCCGGAAGGCGAGACGGACCAACGGCACCCAGTTTAGTTGTCAGTGACTTCATTTCCCGCTGCCAAGTCAACTTCTGTCCACCTCGAGCCTTGCGCCATCCTACACCTGGTAAACTGAACAAGGCCCTCCTAGGTAAGCGGTGACCAGGCATGCGTAGCACGTGTCCGAGCCAACGCAACTTATTCAGTGCTATCTGTTGTTCTAGGGAGCTAGCATGATTATCATCATCTAGTACTCGCCTACGCACATCATCGTTGCGGACACGCTGGTGCCATCCGACATCAGCAATGCTTCGCAAACAACGATGATCAAAGACTTAAAGGCGCCTCAGATCTTCAGACCGAAGGGGCCAAGTTTCACTACCATAGAGCAGAACGGCCCTCACTGTGGCCTTGTATACACGGCCTTTCAGACGGAGATGGTTCCTCCAACCAGTCCTGTTGGTGCGTTGTAAGGAGTGGTTGTACGAAACAAGTCAATGCGTTCCTCAGGATATGCTGCATAACCCACATAGTCATAACGTATGGCGGCGTGATCCTTCAACCCTGTAGGACTCTCTTTCGTGGGTTTTCGATCATGAGCCTTTCGTTCGGGAACTCAAAAGCAAGCATGCGAGGTTTGCTTTCTGCTCTGAATCTGGTGTTCGAACTGGCTTGGCTGAAGAGCGGAATGCTTGCAATAAACTCATGAAGGTCCGCCCAAAACTGCCCACCACGTGATACCGGCACTTACTGACCGTGAACACTGAAGTCACCTGAGATGTGAACATGTCGCCATCGTGGTCCCAGGACCCCTTATAAGACTAAACTTAGTCGGGTGTCCCTCTATAAGGTCGATATTGGGGAAGCCAGATAACCTCCACAAGACAAGTGCAATTGCATATCAGTCGCAGACTTCACCAGAGTGAGTCTATGATCAGCGTTTCCGGATCCTTCACTGCAGCTCACTATAGTAGAGTAGAAGTATCCTACCGCCCTTGCTGGGTTGACTGTTTCAAACAAGGGATATACCACGTATCGCAACTTCTGCGTCGGTAACTTTTGGGTCCAACCAAATTTCAAATATCGTGTAGTAAGCCCATTTTTATTATATATTGTAAGAAGAAACGCAAGCGGTACGCTTAAAGCGAACAATTGTTTTCGATTTATTCATCATCAGGCTTTATACAAAAATATACGTTGAGAAGCGGAGTTCATAGGGGGAAATAAAGAGTAACTATTGATTGAACAAAACATTTTAAGTGCTTAACGTAACGTGCCAGGTGGTCAGGTGACTGAAGGCATGTGCTACCAATGAGTGAAGTCCGATTCATCTCTATTACTGGCTGGCCAGGGTAGTTGTAAGGCTTGTACATGTTGCCTCTGAATGCATAGGTTTGGTTTTGTCAACCTGATACATACTGATTCAGCGGTAGCGAGTAGCCGAGCTCCTGACCGATGGTGTAGCTGTGATGGAACTCGATAGAGGATCTCAAAAGACTTGCGCTTATCAATCAGATGATTGGTGCAGATCAGATGGTTGGTTATTGCACTCAACTGAGTTTTTCTCGTTGGGAGGCGAGTGACGTTGGTAAATGCTCCTTGATTCGCTTTTCCAGATGTCTGGTCGTGCGCCCAATGTACCTAGCCCCACAGGAGCAGGTAAACTGGTAGACTACCATTGATTAGCGTTGATCAGGCGTCTTGTCTTTGGACCTAGGAACAAAGAGCGAACTGCTTGTAAAAACGATCCTCAGTTGAGCTGCATTAAAGGTCTTCCGGCAAGTCTTTATCAGTCGTCGTGTGCATATTTCCGCCGGTATGTCACCTTTAAAAGGGAGTTGGAGAAACAGCTGTTTCTTTTCCGCTGTTTGTACCGTTGGTTTTGGCCTACTCGACTTCATATGAACGTCAATGGTTTTCAAATAGGAAAATGAGGTCCCAGACATATGATGCTTCACGTAGCCGCAGTTCAGCAAGTTTGTTCCGTACGTCTTGTGCCTTGGTGTAGACGCACATTTGTGAGTCGGGGACCCTATGTTTTTCGTAGGATGCTAAACCGATCGGTGAAAGTTCGGCCACTAATCATTTTTTGGGTTGGGCGGTGACGAACTAATTTATGTCATATTCATGCACCTCACTATTGCTTTCTTGTTCCACTCTTTGTATGTAGCATATGGGGTTTGTCCACCAGTTTTGTCAACTAGATAAGTAATGCTATCGAACTGTTATTAGGAAGTAGTTCGATTAAATTGCTCCTATCATGTGTTCGCTCAGGGAACGCAGCTTTGAGCCTTAAATCAAAAAGCAGCCTGCTGCTGTGCGCATATCGTCACTCCTATACCGCTGTTCATATCCGTATGGAATGTCGTACTACCTTCACAATTCTAGGGCCTGGAGTTCCAAATAGCCTCTAGAACGATTACGCTGCGCCATTTTTGAAGTAGACGATCCTGCGAATGTAGTGCCAGTGCTCCTGCTCATGGGTGGTCGTCTAGGGCTCATCATCTTCAGCCACGTGCACACAGTGTACAAGGATAGTACTGACTACGGATTCCGTCTGGCATTCTTTCAAGTCGTGTTCCGTCATTTCAAACTCGCTGCACGGAATATCCAGGAGGAAGCGGATGGAACGACGCCCGTTACCGGGACCAGTTATCGGTAGCAGTACTGCTTCCGCCTAGTATGCAGAAGTCTGTGTACACCGTAATATTTTGTGTTTGGGTAATAGGTGGTCCACATCAATTTGGGAGCCTTAGCTACACCTAGGATGTCACAGATAAGTTTTCACTGGAATTCGGCATTTATAAAAAGCAAAGAAGGTCTGTGTCGATTACGGCAATGGATATTGCAACGACGCTGATCACTCAGCGGGATGTTCTACAAGCTCCCATTGTCTAATATTTGTGTTGGACTTATGTTGTGCGATCTACACCGAGGCTTTAAGCCTTTACAAACCATCAGCCATGACATGTATTCATAACCCAAAGTATATACCTCCTTTCCACGTCCCTCTAAGACAGAATTCGCGTGCCTTTCCACTTGATTAAGGCCCGTTTTGTCTCGTCAGATTCTGATTAATTATCGCCCGTGTTTGTCTTTACAGTGATGAACTGACCACCCATCTTCGTGCCGACTGATCCATAGCGCAGTTTTGATGATACTTCCAGTCAGGTCTGGTCTGTAACACGTTGGCCCGTTCTTGCGACAACTGCGAAGTTGATCCTTTCGACAGTTGGAACGTTAATATTCAAGTAGCCAATCTATTCGCAGTGCTCATATCCCTGAACAATGCTATTTTGTGGTTAACCATTCTACCCACCACACGTATCGTACAAATGCGCTAGGCATTGGGATGCCATTACCAGTTCTTTTACCGTTTTGGAACTTACCCTGTTAGTTATCGGACCAACTTACTGATTCCCGTTTTCGATTTGTGATAGCAGCACACATTGATGAACGGTGTGATACGTTATTTTGTTGTAGTCTATTTTGAAAACTGTACCACTTCTGGGTACGTTGTTGTATTTGTTGCCAGTGTGTTACGTGTTGCAAAGCTAATTTGTCGGTTGAACTTATGTCGGGGCTGCTGCTGATCATCACAACACTTGTCATAACCGCTAGAAACGGATTATTGCGTTTCGAATAACTCGTCAAAGGTTTGTATTGTGTGATACGAACTACCAACTTGGGCTGCGCCTAAATGGTAGCAAACTTCTGCCACACTGCCAACTGGAGTCTCACCTAGCGTACTGAAATTCGCCTGTGTGCCACTTCGAGTAGTGCTTTCCACATGCACATATTTGTTAAGAGGCAGCAGTAGCGAATTTCGATCTTCGTGCAAACTATTTTGACGACATGTGGTTGTCATCTTATGTACCGTGGAGTGAGTACCGTTATGGATGGTAGAGTTTGATGTCCTCTTCTAAAGCATTCTACAACATAAGTGGTTTCTTCTGCTACTTGAGTTAGTGTCCAAACACCGATTTTCCGTTTGCGTAAGAAATAAATCATCCAAGGGATACGCCATTGAAAATAGCTTAGCTCATTTAATTGGAACCACAATCACTCCGCGCATCTTCGATTTATCCAGCATTACTGACGTTTCCTGTTTAGTTTTCTATTCGGATCTATTGGAAGATTGCGTTTGCAGTTATTTCAGTACCGGTTTGAGTCTTATTACGTCCTTACGCCTACCGATTAAGCAAAAACACTTTTCTACCTTTTTCAGGATTTTTGCTACGAGGATGAAGATGCGAATTGGTCCGTCCTTGTGGCAATCAACCTTTGTGTTGCAGTAATCGTCTACGCCCCTGACTCTTACCGTGCTCGGCAAATGTTGGTAAGCCTTGTTATTTCCTAGTCTTTCACACTAAAGCTAGTTGCGGCTCTTAAGATGCGGACCAAGACAGTAACTTTAGTTTAAGCCGCTTGGTATGAACATTTTAGTTGAACAATCTATAGATTCTGCCAGCAGGGTTACAGTTTGCTCGTCGAATACATATGAGATGCGGACGGCGCAAAATGCAAACATCACCTGGTCACCGTAGATGTGGAAAGTTTCCGATTATAGTTCTATTACACTATTTCAATCCATGACCCATCTATTTCTCAACGCAATCATGCCCCCCAAGCAATGAGCCAGAGGATTAAGAGGGGTTTAGACATGAAACACCGCGTTGCATATTCTGGTAACTACTTCCCTCTTGCTAACTAGGTGTTGGGAATTCGTAACTCAAAGTGACGCCATCATCTGACTCATCTGATTGTAGAAGACTTTTCCTATATGGGTGTGAAGGTACACAGTATACTGCAGCCCTAAGTTGTTGCGCACAGTTTGGCTTGACCGAGAGGCAAGCATACACTGAGAAACGCCTATAGGTAGGCTGCAATAGCTTATCTACGGTGAGCTTTCGTCAACATTCGATATAACCTTTAAAGGTCAAAACACATAGCGTTGGTTTTACATTTTACACAACATTTTCCAAAAGTCTCCCACAGCTTTTCTAACTCACATTTTTTCACTTGCGGCAGAGATAACCCACAGTACGAATAGTGCATTTTCATGTCACAATAGCTATTAAAGCGTACATCTCACAACATCATTCCCTACTTAGCTAAAGTACCAAGTGAGTCCGTTATCTATCCGTGAGAATACGTCTTCGTGGCTTACGTCTCGGCAAGTTCGTTTCATTGTTGCGACCACACCAAACCCTGTGCCTTTGTTACCAAAACCGTGTATTCACCTACACAAGAAAGAGTGATTATAAGCTGCAAGGAACGGCGATAAACATCTAACGCGTTATTTCCAACCGTTGCAACTGCATGAGGTTTTTGGTTCGACATTATTAGGTGATCATGTTCGGATCACAGAAGTGTGTCTGCTATGCGCGTGGAGGTCTGTGACCATAAACCAGCGTACTACGACACTTCACAAAACGACGTATTTGACTTTCTGGTCAATATTGGACATCATACCCACCATTTGTTTAACATACCTAATATCAGGATCAAGGGAAGAGCAATTGATCATGGTGCGCGAATCCTTTAAAGCGAAGTCGACTGGAATCCCTTTGTACCAGGGAGGTAGCTGATATGTTCGCTAATGAACCGGAAGGGAAGCGGGGGACTTCAATTTGGGTTTTCTCTGCATTTTCGGTCTCTTGCTGCCTAGCGGATTAAAGTGGTTGCCTCCTAATGGTCACTCATGAAAACCATTTGATAAATGGTATTTATTTCACCACTGTTTGTGAACTTACTTTATGGGTACAATTGAGACACCAGTGGAGGTTACCATGCACTGAATATCAAAGAACGGTCCTCCTAAATCACCTTATCTCTAACATACGCTAGCTTCAGTGGAAATGTACACGAGAATCCGGTCCAAGATTGACGGTAGAAAAGGAATGTGTGTACACTTCTCCAAATCGAAAAGTCAGTAGTAGGTAATTATTGGAGATAAATATCTTCACATAAACAACATTGATTTCTGCAAACACACTGCTTGCAGAGCTTAAAAAATAGTACCTACATTCACAGCAAGTTTGACGGATGGAACATGTTTATACCTAACACTGTGGTGCGGAGACTACACGGATTCATTGAGGAAGCACAGAAGTATTAGTCGTTTTTTTATTCTTAGGCAAGTCTAAAATTAGTGTTTCGGAGCTGGAAGACTACAAGAGTTAAACTCGTTTGGTAAACAGTCAGTCCTTGTACAGCCACACAGAGAGAAGTGTTGGTATTCTCAAAGAAATCGTGCAGTCGCCCTGCTTTTGGCAAACACCGAAATGCCAGAGGAGTCGTGGTCTGAGCGTCAGGCAGATCGAACTTATTCAGGTTGGATTCTCTCTTTCAGCTGGTCCGTCGAGTTTCCTCTAAACTGGATTGTAAGGACAGTGTAATTGACATGAAATAAGTGCCGCCGTTCCCCCAAGTAGGACGCGAATCATTAGTGACAAGTGTAATGTATTCGCACTCATGCAAGATGGTACTCATGTTAGTGGACGTTATATTCCTCGCCCATTTTGCACCAGGAAGACTGCAGCCAACATATATACATATATATATATATATATATATATATATATATGATTGCCAAAACCCGTTTTCGGAGTTGCCTGTCACTGTGGCCAGCCACAGGACGCCTGCGCATGCAGAGTGACAATGGGTGGTTTGCGCTGCACCACTCACAGATCCAACCACACACCCCATATCCAGTGCAAACCCGAAAGAATAAGACCGGGAGGCATGTGGATGGGAGCCACGTTTCATCAACTGTGCCGGCACACATTTCTTCACAAGCAAACACAATCACGCTGTATTTGGGAATCAAGCACATAAAATGCGGTGGCTGGACCGTGGTCCGCTCCACACTGAGTACGTTGAACCACACCTAAAACCTAACACGGCCACAAGGATCGTGCACTCCGTCCCCTCCAGCAACGGCCAACTGTCTCCTGGAGCCAGTATGGACGAGGTAGTGTGTACTAGACAGACAGGCACCTTGTCAACATGCAAATCAAGCGCAGCCATACGGAGGATATCAAGCAACAGCCAATCACGTGAGTGAAAGATAACAAATAAAATGAATCGAGTAATGCATAAGGAAACGGTTACCTAAATCTTAAATCAATGAGCATTTGAAATAAGTTGTTTACAAACGAATCCGAGATAAGCTCACGAGGTCGGAAAGTATATTTTATGGAAATGCCACAAACACGAAAATATTATCGAAAGTAACTACAATTGGCTTAAGCGACGTGTGCAAGTTTATAGAAGAGCGTACAGGTGGACATGTATTTGAGAAAAATGGCAATAGGATAAAATTGCAATCCCACCACCTGAAATAAATAGACTAAGCATGCAATCGCGCGGTTAGTAAAGCGAATGCACGGTACCTACAAACGCTGCGCCATATCCAGTGCATCGCATTTTGGCACCTCTGTGAGGAGTGCGCTGACGTTAACATAGATCATGGTTTCATCTTCCTTCCATGCGAACTCATGACGGTTCTTTCTATACGTATTCGTTCACCCTGTCAACGGCTGCAATAGGCTAACAATTGCATATAGACCAGCAAGTGTAAGCTGTTGCCAACCCAGTACCCTTATCACAATTAACGCGGTACCCTTCCGCAAAGCTCACTGCAATACGTGATGCATTGCCGTGCACATGCTGATGCTAACCTCATCATTAAGGCCGATCAATTCGGCCACACACACCGATAACTAACGCATTGTTCCATGAAAGCGCGAAGTAAAGCACCGCACGCATTAATTATTTCACCTAGGCACTATTATCCACACCCGATCACACGTAGACACCGCGTAAGATTGACGGACACGTCTGCTAGCTGCATGCAGCTACCTTCAGCGAAGGCAATCCATACTGTCTCATTGTGGAGCACATGTCACGTCCGGTCGTCTGCGCGCAAGTGAGCAGTATGAACGGGGATGGAATAGCTCCGGCCCCCCAGTTCTGTGTTGTGTGTCTTGATGCCGCATAAGGTAGTGAGTGGGAGTTAAACTACTTCCTCAACTAGGCATGGATGCCGTGTGCTAGTCCACACCCCATCCTACATTGACTGCGCTCACGTGTTGTTTTGACCTCCGCGTGTGCGTCACGTGGTTTGTTGGCTGAGCGCAAAGTCTAACCGCTGCACCAACCGATGCAGGTGTTCTGAGTACCCGTGCAGTGATTTGCAATTGATCAAGACGATGGGCACGCATTTGTGCGTGTGCGCCACTTTAGATTCAACTTGATGTTCTTGTGGATTGAGTTGGATATTCTTATGAAGGAACGTGATATTTCTTAAGGAGGAGCTTGATTCCTTTATGGACTCAATGGACTGGGAAAAGTTATTTTTATATGCAGCATCTCATCCGTGCTGTGTGCAAGCAAGGCACCTTCGTTTGCGAAAATCTACATGCGGATAGTTGTCTCACCGTCTAGAGTTCTCGCACCGAATCAACTTCCCCGCAATCCACCGTCATTAAGTTGCTCCACACGAACACGGCAAGCACATCCGCATCAAAACACTGGAGGTCATTGCATGAAGATAAATATTAAACAGGTCATTAGCTATGACACAGCTTTGCTTCACACCAGAGATTACTGCAAAATCATCCGAGGTCTGTCCACTCAGCTGTACCCTCGCTCGCATACTACCCTGCAGACCTGCAAGTAACAACTTGTTTACTGGGATGCGCAAACCTACCCAATACCGGCCACATTGCCTCGCGGTTCATCATTCTAATGTTTTGGTGAAATCAACAAAAAGCGAGTATCAAGGCTGCTGTCATTCTCTACACTCCCCCTGCAACTGTCGAGGCGCTAACACCACATCGATGGTGCCGCAACCCGAACGGCATCCACATTGCTTTTCCGCCGCGCGTCGTACGTTTTACAAGAGCAATATGAACCAACGTTTCATTTCATCACGTGGTCTCTTGAATCTTTGGAATCTATGGTGGCAACAGCAACACTGACTCATATACATTTTACCGCAGACATCGTGATGAGAAAGCTGCCATCCATGCGCCTGCACGTCTGTCCAGGAATTGAGAACATCCGCATAAGGACGCTTGCTGTGGCGGTTACTTTGCTGGCTGAACCTTTGGTGCGGCTGTTCTAGCATTGACTTGACGAGGGGCACGTTTCTACATTGTTAGCACAAGACAGCTGGACCAAAACTTTGTATGCCGGTCCAGGAGTGGATGTGACTTACCTTGATTTCTCTGGTATTCGACCGGATGGACCATCGTATCCCTCCCGCCAAACTTCAAGGGTGTGTCGTTGGGGACCCTCTGCTCGAGTGGATCCCTAATTTTCTCTCGCACA